ACCAGATAAGATGCCTATCAAGGGACCATTAACACCCGAACCCTGAATGCCAGGGTCGGAAATCGGGGCGATGCCTATCTGGAGGGCCATTGGCACCTTGGACATGAATGCCGGGATTACTGGAACACGGGAAGACCATGAGTCCGCTCTTGGCCGAGGTTTTTGTGCAGCTTGGAGAGAGAAAAGAAACAAACTTGAATATGTGAAACTTGGAAAGAGACAAAGGACTACTGGCCGCGGGCAAATTAAACAGTGTAAGAACTGTGTCTTCAAAGCAGTGTGTGTGGACGGGGAGGATCTGGTCTTAGCGAAGCCAGGTTCCACGTTCACCCCCATCACTGCCCGGGGTGATACGCTGTCCGTTTTTGCTGCTGGCTATCGGACTGTTACTGCGGTCGCAAAATAAATTTTATCTTTCATATTTTTATTAAAATTGGCTCACTCGCAATTTTCATTTATAACAGGATGTAACTCACAAGGATGTGAGGGATTCTCCAACCTCAAGCCCTCCCATTACTGTAGCCATGTGGTTTGAACCTGCCATGGGGATGGTTTTCGCACTCCAGTGTGCAGGGAGCAGTGCTATTCCCAGGAAAAGCCCTTGCAGGCCTGAAGGATAGGGCATGGAGTGCTGCCCACATCCCTGGTGCTCTGTGTAGAGAATGAAAGGCTCTTTGAACGGGAGCCCCTGCCTGTGCTAGGAAAGATGCCCCTGTCCTGGGCCTTGTGGAGGGAGGACCTTTGCCCCTTTCCCCTCCCCGTGGCCGTCTCCTTTCCCTCAGCACCTGCCCTGTCCTGCCAGGCCAGGAGTACCGGATGTACAACACCTACGACGTCCATTTCTACGCCTCCTTCGCTCTCATCATGCTGTGGCCCAAGCTGCAGATCAGCCTGCAGTATGACATTGGTGAGTGTCCCCAGAGCCCTGCCTTGGTGCCTGCTCAGGGCTTCACCTCGGGGAGAGGTGGACACCTTGGGACAGCTGCTGCTGCTGCAGAGATGTGTGCCATGGAGCCCCTCCAGCCACTCTGCTGAGCGCAGGACTGCAGCCCTGGGATGTCGCTGCCCCAGCAGCTCTGTGCCCAGCACTGGGGATGCCTTCTTGCCATGCTGGGGGTGCACAGCTGGCTCTGCCTGTCCTGGGAGAGCCCCTACCCTTCCCAGCCCTGCTCCTTGCAGAGGGGACATGGAGCTGTTTGCAGACTCCCAGTGGGAGAGGGGCCACAGGCTTTCGTCGCTCCAGGCTGAGCAGGGTCCTGCTGGCCTGCACCAGCTGGGGTCCCAAGGAGCACCATGTGGTGGATGGGCTGACAAAGAGGAGCCCAAGCCATGGAGGGTCGCAGCAGGGGTCACACAATGGCCGTCAGGGATAGTGGCAGGAGAGGCCAGTATTGAGGAAAGGGAACTGGGGCACTGATCAGTGAAAGAGAGGAGACTCTGTGTGCTTGCAGAAAAGCTTTATTGGGAGAAGCAGGTGCTGAAGCAGGAGGAAGGGCTACAGCCCAGCGCTGCCTCTTCTTCTGGGAGCTCCAATGCTACCAACCCTCAATCCAGGAGCTCTCTCAGGCGCCAGAATGTGTTGTAGCCAACCCTGAGGGGACACAGACAGAGGAAATGTAAGGGTGGGACATAGGAGTGGCCCACCCAGCCCTGTGTCATTCCAAACCACTTGCACCTTGTCAGGACGCCCAGGGAAGCTGTGCACAAGCACCCTGTCCTCCCTCAGCTGCACACTGGCAGCTGCTCTGCCAAGCGCTGAGCACCACAGCCTGGGAGCACCACCCTTCATCCCCACCCTCGGGCCATTCAGGATTCCTTCTCAGGCATTTGGCTTTGGAAATGCCTCTCAGGTGGTGAAGCTTCCCTTGAGCTTGTCACAGACACTTTGCACACCAAGTCCTTCTGTTGCCTTATCAAGGAAACCAATACTCCAAAAACCTTGGGGAATTACTTGCCTGAATCATAGCCCAAGTGGAATAATGTTATCATTACTGGAACTGTGAAAAATTCCTGTAATTACCATCTCACACTACATCCAGGATGAAGACTGACTGATGGCTAAGGTCAATCATCCCATGACTTTACCACCGCATTCCTAAGTGAGGCCCCTGGAGCTCTCCTGGGCCTCGGCAGGGGCTGTGCCACCATCTCCGGCCGAGTGCACGGCTGAAGGGATGTGAACTCCCCATAGCAAGTGCAGTGTGACTGCTGCCAGCCTGGATCTACAGTTTAGTCTCTGCTGTAATTTTGGTACACCTTCCCAAATCACCTTATAAATGTTCAATTAGTCAATGGTTAACTGCTGCCATGTCCTTTGGACACAAACCATTGAGTAGGTCTGAGATTAAGAGTGGAATCAGCCCCAGCTCGGATCCGTCAGTAGTTTAGAAAGCAGTGGGTACCTCCCTGAACTTTGTGATTCAGTTGAAGGGTCTCACTTCTCCTTTTTGATCTCCAGACTCCATGTAAATCCATCTAAACTGATTCTAACCCATTTTTTCCTTCCTATGTTTTCCCCCTGCACAAAGCAATCAAGTGAACCTTGCCATGGAGCTCTGCTAAGTCCTGTTTTTGCAAAGAGATAGCAAAGCTCCTTTTGCCAACACCTGTGAGAGTGACTCCTAAATGACCTAAAGCACTCATCTGTGACAACCCCAATCCCTTGGGAGTGCACAGGGGACCTGTGCAGGGCAGGGACAGAGGACTTACAAGGTGGCTTTCCAGTCATCTCCAGGTTTCTCCGCATGTGACCTCAGCAGCCACATGGTCTTCAAAACCTCCTCTCCATGCTCATCCACGAAGCACTGGCCCGTGAAAACAGTGACAGTATCTGTGGGGACAAGACAGGAGGTGGAGGGGGGCGTGGCTGAGGTGGAGGTGAGTGGCTGTCCCAGCTCAGGGGACAGTAGAGCCCTGCTGTCCCCAGCCTCTGGGGACAGTGGGCATGGGGAAAGCAGCAGGAGGGCTCAGAGGGCTGGGGTGTCACACGGAGATGGGCAGGCAGTGCAGGCTTCAGCCCCTGCTGCCTCTCCTGCACCCTGGGACTGGGAGCTGAGAGCAACCCAGGAGCTCCAGGGACAGGGATGGGGGAGCTCCAGGGAGAGGAGAGGGAGAGCAGTGGGGATAGAGCAGGGGAAGGCAGGGAATCAGCAAGGACATGGCAGGGAGGGCAGAAGGGAGCTCTGGCGACACAACAAGGATAAGTTTAAGTACTTGAAAAGTTCCAGTTGACGGTGAAACCAAAGGTGGGCTGGCTCAGTTTTGGGAAGTGCTGGGACCCCACCAGTGGTGATTTCTTGATCGGCTCTGGGGAGGCTGACACAGCTGTGAAGTAGGTGCCGTTGAATTCACCATTTCCACCATTTATTTCATTAATGGTCATGTTGGAGCCCAGGTCATTCTTCCATTTCCCAGTCAGCTCACACTGGAGAGGAAAGAACTCAGCACTTGTGCCCAGCACAGCCTGCAGCCACAGCCCCCTGCCCACCCCACCCTGTGCATCCCACCCTCAGTACCTTTTTCGCAGCGAGGCCATGAGCCCCCAGGGCCAGGAAGAGCACCAGCAGCAAGGGAGTTGCTTGCACCATCTCTGCAGCAGGAGGACAGCTGATGTACCTGGGATGTGCTCCTTGCAGGTGTCTGCTGAGGCTCCTGCTCCCTCTCCTTTTTATAGCTGCCAGGGCTGTGGGTGGCACCTCTGGCCAGGGCATTGTGCAATATGTGTGTACCCAAATGGATCAGCTATTAGAGGGTCCCCAGACAGCTGTAATTCCCAGAATGCCTTTGTTCCAAGATAAATGCAGCTGGACAGCCCAGGTGAGATGCTCCAGTATTGTGGTGTCACAGTACCCCTCCAGTGTCACATTCCTATTTTCTGAAAAATCCCTTTGCCCAGGATTTTTCTCCTGGAAAGCTGAGAAGACTCAGAGAAAAAGGAAAACAATAATCATCTCATTTGCTTCTCCTTTGTTTTGCTCCTTCCAGCCTCCCTGAGTGACCCCAAGGGAGAGCTTCTTTGCATCTTTGTCCCTCTTCATTTGCTCTGGGCTCTGACATGGGAAGATAGCATGCAGGGGGGACATATAGGAGCTTGCTCTTGCCATATAATCCCACCCAGTGAAGAGTTTGGGCACAGCTGGATCCAACTTAGCCCTAGATTTTGCCAATGGATTGCGTCCAAAGGATCATACAGGTGTAATAGAAACTTTGTATAACACAGTACCACAGCATTGAGGATTGCAAATCTGATACATTTATAAAAAACAAATAATTTATTATGATAATTAGACAAAAATATCTTTAAGAATTATTTACTACAGATTAGAAGCTGTAATAATTTCTATAGTATGATGCAATATTTTGAAACAGTATTCATTATATTAAAGCTAGCAAGGCCAAATACAAAGTAGACCCTGAAGTTACCCATACCAGTAATTGTGGGCAAATCTCTTTGGTTCAGCCTCAAGAAGAAGGTATCCCCATGCAAGGAAGGAAATCTCCACACACACTGTGGGAAGGAGGGTCTTAGAAGACCCTGACCTTAGAAATTGGGAGCAAGCTTTTACAGTATAATGTGACTGACTATCAGCAGGATGTCAGCCCTGGCAGCTCAAGGTACTACTGATAGTGTATCACTTGCTGGTTTCCTTTCTTTGGTTCTTTACCAGTTCTATCACACCTTCACATCGCTACTCAGGATGTTGAGTGTTAGGGTCTGACAAGTCAGACTCATTTCAACATTATTCAACACCAAAAGCAGCATGACACCCCTTTCTCCATTCACCACTGCAAATAGGGAACTGCAAATATTTGCAAATAGAGAATTGTTCAAGTTACTTCACCCCTATTGTAGGCACAGCATCCTTCTACAGAAAGGTGCCTGGGGTGTCCGTCTCTCTGTCCTAGGGACATTGTACCCATCTGTCCAGGAGATCTGTGTTTCTGTGGGGACAACACATTATTCAACACCAAAAGCAGCATGACACCCCTTTCTCCATTCACCACTGCAAATAGGGAACTGCAAATATTTGCAAATAGAGAATTGTTCAAGTTACTTCACCCCTATTGTAGGCACAGCATCCTTCTACAGAAAGGTGCCTGGGGTGTCCGTCTCTCTGTGGATCCCTGTAACATGGGTAGACAGGTGGAGATCTGTGTTTCTGCGGGCACAACAGGAGCTCCCTCCTTTCTATCCCTCCCACACAAGGATTTTACAGCCTTCAAATGCTGCAGTGGCAGAGAAAAAAGGAAAAGGAAGCAAGGTGCCCAGCCCTGGGCAGAAGGGGAATTGATGTGGTCGAGGGCCTGCAGCCCTGTGGCTCAGCTGCTGCCCAGAGAGGCCTTCACAGGAGGAATGCTCTCTCCTCTGCTGCCTGAAAGACAGGGCAGAGCCAGGAGGCAAGCAAGAAGCAGTCTTACCTGCTGCTATTACATCTGGAAAAGGGGGTAAGGAGGCACATCCTGCTCCCTTCAGCAAATTGCAGGGGGGACATATAGGAGCTTGCTCTTGCCATATAACGTTATTCCTCAGCCCAGAAATTCTCCCCTGGGAGCAAAAAATGGCATTTGTCACCAATGGCAGCACTGGGGCAGCATAATGATCTGCTGAAGAATGGTCATAGAGGAGAGGACAGGCTACTTCATATCTGCCAGCCCTCATAGCTATTGAGTATTAAGGATGCACTTTGGCACAAAAGAAGTCCTGTCATGGCCAGAAAGAGATAACAGCCCTTCTTGTAGTGTCCCCAGAACTCCTCCACTCTTTCTGTGGTGTCCCAGAGATCCAACGTGCTTCCTGTGGCGTACTCAAAGCTCCCACACAGGGCCTGTGGTATCTTTAAAGCTCTTCTCACTTGCTTCCCTGGCTGTGCTCCCTGCCAGCTCACTCAGTGTCACCCAGACTGCATCACTGTCCAGAGGGATCCTGTGGCTCATGGGTGTCCCTTGGCAGGAGGCTCAGCCCTCTCTGACATGAAAGGAGCAGCACCACACACAGCCACCACCACCATGGGCACCCCGGGCTGCTGCTGCTCGCCCTGGCCCTGCTCATGGCCCCTGGTGCTGCACCAGGGAGGTGAGAGCAGCCCTGGCAGCCTGGCCGTGCTGAGCCGTGCTGTGCTGTCCCGGGTGCAGGGTGGGTGAGGGGCTGCACACCCTGGCCATGCCATCATCCCTGTGCTGTGTGTTTTCTCTGTGCCGTGCTCTGCCACCCCAGCACACAGAGGTCTTGCCTGAGGGGCTGCAGGTTCTGGGTGCACTCTCCTATACCATGCTGGGCCATGCCACGGTGCAGCGTCCATGACCAAGGAGGCTGCCAGCTCTGGCTGTGCTTCCCTGGGGCTGCTGTGGGTCACCTCCCCTGCTGTAGGGGGTACCCAGCACCTCAGCTCCGCTGCCCTGCCCAGAGACTGAGGGCTGTTTTCCTGACTGATGGCCATGTGCTGGTCCCAGCTGCCAGGGCGAGGGGCTGTGCCATGGGACGTACATCCCCTGCTTAGCCAGGCTGAACGTGGGACCGTGCCTCAGCACTGAGTCACCCACACAAGCCCCAGGCAGGGCAGGGCCTGTGCAGAAACGAGCTGGGCTCTTACATGACCCTTTTGGCCCTGAACACAGCTGGGACCTTCTTGGGCTCCTGCCACTGCACAGCAGCAGCCTATCTGCCACAGGCCCTCCTGGGGCAGAGCCAGTCACTGTGTGCAGTGCCACCCCAGGACAACGACAGCATCCGTGTGCCCCAGTGCACCGCTCCAATATCCTCACACACACGCTCACACACACCCTCTTCTTTCCCTGCAGCACAGCTGCCCACCTCCCCCAGCCCAATGACTGCAGGAGAGAGGTCTCCTGTGCCCCCGGGCAAGGTACCAGCTGCAGCTTGGGATGGCTGGGGAGCCTGCAGGCTGGTAGAGCCCTGAGTGATGGGGAAGGGGAGGCACAGGCTCCAGCAGCAACTCCTTAAGCCACCACGCTCTGAGGAGACATCCCCCACACCTCTGGTCCCCCCCTTGTGCTCAGCATCAGCAGCTGGAAGCCCCCTGAGGTCAAGGGCACGTAGTGGAGGTAGGGAAGGAAAACAGCAATGTCAGTACTAGCACAGAGAGGGAGGGGAGGGTCCCTGCCTGCCATCTGCACCCCCCAGCCCACGGTGCACCCCGTGCCCTGCCCAGCGCCACGAGGCTCAAGGGGGGGTGCTGCCCTGGGGGAGCTGTGCGGGTGCCGGTGCCCGGCCAGCCCGGCGCTCCAGGGCCAGCTGCATGCTCCAGATGCTGAGGGGCCGCATGTAGGCCAGCGAGCGGTACACCTTCTTCTCCCGATAGGCCTCCGGGGTCTGGAAAGCCATGCCCAGCCGTTCCCACACCGTCCGGTAGCAGCCCTCTGCCGTGCGGAAGCCTTCCTCCACCATGCCCTGCACGAGAGGGAACAGGACCATCAGCACGGCCAAGGAGCACAGGCTGGGGAGTGCGGCGGCAGCAGCACATCCACGCTCACCTCCTGGATCATGGTGGCAGCCAGGGAGTACACCACGCCGACCCACACTTCGTTGGACTGCACGCTGGAGGTGTCGGGCACGCCGTCGGGTCTCATGCCGTTCACGGCCCCCATGGCGCCGCCCGCGAAGCCCAGCACGTTCTTCTCAAAGATGGTCTTGAGTGCGCTGAGAATGTGACTCTTGGGGAAAACCTGGGAGGACAGAGACGGGTTTCGTGATCATGTGGACCCCTCGGGCTGGGACTGGAGCGGGATTAAATTTTCCATGAGGAAAAGGGCAACACAGCTCGCTGGGTCAATAGCAAAAAATTCCTACCTCAAAAAAATAACAGGAGGAAGTGAAACATCTCTTTCCCCAAAAGGATAAAAAAGCCACCAGAATACTTTACAGAGACGTGCTGAACTACATTGCACGTTCTTCAAGAGGATGCTGACAGATCATCTAACTAGTTGATTTCCAAAAACAGCTTCTCACCCACAACCACTGGCCAAGCCCCTTCCCCACTTCTTGTGGGTTTGCTTTGGGGGCCTGGCCAACCACACCATCCTCATCTGCTTTATGGTTGGCACTTACAAGAGAGACAAGAGCCATGAGGCTCACCAGCACAGCTGGGGACATGCCAGACACTTATTCCCACCCTGGTGACACCAGAGTCAGGGCAAGCAGAGGCTGGGATGACACCAGGCAGCACCTCGCCAGGGAAGGCTGGGCAGTCCAGCCACAGAGCTTGGGCACACTCAAAGCAAAAGCAGCAAATCCCTTCTCTCTGTGCTCAAGCCAAACATCCCTGTAGATATTTATTCCCAGTGTGGCTCTGGAGATAAACCCAGAGGGTGCTGTGGGAATCAGTGAAGGGCTGGGGTGCCCTTCTCTGGCAGAGGCTTTTGGGCACACTCCCTTCAGGACTGGATCACGGGCTGTTCTTACGTCGCATTTCTGACCCGTTCACTGCTGACTTGTGCACGCACCAAGGCCACGTCAATGAGCTCACAGACACAGGGGTGCCAGACAGGCACTGGAGCAAAATCCATGGGAAAAATCCATGAAATGTCACAGTAACAGAGGATGGGAATTCACCAGTCCCAGCTGCAGTCAGCTCAGAGCTCACCAGAGAGCAGGAACAAGTGCCACCTTCAGCAGCAGCACGAGGCTGAGCTGGGGAAGGGCAGGCCACATTCTGGACTGCACCACAGCTGCTGTTCCCTCCCCAAAAGGAACTGCAGCAGGGATTTACTGCAGGAGGGCTGCGCCAGACCCTGCCTGGAGCCCCGGGCACAGCCCCAGCCCCACACTGGGTTAAACACAGGAGGGAATGAGCAGCTCAAGGCACCTGAAGCTCCCCTCTGATTTCCCAACACACAGTGGAGTGGTTTGTCAGCCTCCCACAGGCAAAGCCACTGCTTCCTGCACTCAGCTGAGGCCTTTGCCTGATTGGGTTCTGCACTGCCCCTCTCCCTTTAAGCTGTTGCAGCACCAGTGGCTGCTCTGACCATCCCAGCAGACATGAGGAGGCTGCAGCCAATTCTACTCTTGCAACTGAAGAGCAACTGAAGAGCCTTCAGGACTTGGAATAAGCCATAGTTCTGTCTGATATGAATTTTGGACTTTTTAGGACAGAAAATAATGTGGAAAGTTTCATACACTTTTTTGTACCATTTTTAAACAAACAGCACCTTGGCCACAACAAACCCCAGTGGGGCCAAAGCTAGCTGCAGTTACACATCCCTGCATGCATGGCCTCCCTGTGAGAGGGTTCTGGTTTAAGATGGATTCCACTGTATTCCACATCCAACAGCCTCCACTATGGTGTGCAGAGTGATAGAGCAGGAAGGTTCCTCCCACACTAGCCCTAAAGTGTAACCCCCAACATATGCCAGCCCTGCTGCTGTTTCCCTCCTGCCACAGGTCCCATCTGGCCACAATCGTACCAGGCAGCCCCTTCTCTTACCTCAAACTCCCCTTGGTCCAGACCACAAGCTCCAAGAAACCACTGCCCAGCACACTGGTCTGACATGATGCTGCTGGATGTGTCACTTCCACTGCTATCATAATTGTAGTATTTTCCTGGAAAAGGCAGGAAACAGTTTAAAATCAATAGATTAATATACTGTCTTGTGTGAGTTGTCCCTACACACCTCTCTGTGCAGCAGGAGCACAGATGCTTTTTCCACAAAACTCTTCTCCCTTTCCCACACCTATTCCTTCCCCTCCATTTGGAGGGGCAGCATCTCTGTTCCTTCCCCCCAGCTTGCAGGGACAGTATTGCCCCTTCCTTCCCGCATTCCCCACAAGGAGGATCCAAGGAGGAACCACACCCTCCCAAGGGATGCACAGCCAGCTGAGTGTGGTTCCCCACTGCTGAGCACCCACCATTCCAGAGCATCCTCTCAAATGCCTCCTTGCCCCTGTTCAGGATGTCCAGGTATTTCTGCTGGATCTCAGTATCCCCAAGCACCTCTGCCATCTTGCACATCATGCAGACAGCAGCCAGCCACAGTCCGCCACAGTAGGCACTGCCGGAGCCAAATGAGAGAAGTGTCAGGAATGAGGGACACCTCAAGGGTTCTGTGACAAATGGGATACAATAGCCCAGCTCTGAGCTATGTCCCTTCCCCACAGCCCCCTTCTCCAACCCCCCCTGCCTCTCTTGGGGGGTTGCTCACCTGGCTCCATGCACCACCCACGCGTCGTACGTCTGGTCAGCAAAGCCACCGTTTTCAATGAGCCCATCGTTATCCGTGTCAAACTTCAGCTCCGACTCCATCACAGCCTGTGGGAGAGGCAGGACATGGTCGCACAGTCCTCACATCCCGGAAGCTCCTTACACTCCGCTTGGGAGCATCCATCCTCTCAGGAAGCTGCTTGGCTCCTGAAGTGGGAAGTGGGAAAGGGTGATGCCCCACGGTCTGATCTCCCAGTACCTGGCACACTGGCCACATGTCCCGCAGGTACAGGGAGTCATGGGTCAGGTAGTAGTCACGGTACACCTGCAGCACAAACTTCAGGTTGAGGTCCTTCCAGTCAGCTGTGTCGTGCATCAGGTAGGCATTGACACGCTGCCATGGCTCGTCACCTAAACCAGGACAGACCAGATGCAGCAGGGCAGCAAGCAAGAAACATCCCTCCTCCTACAGGAGCAAGGAGCCAAGGGTGCTGTGATCAAACAGCACTGAAATAATACGTTGTACCCTGTGCCATCTCTAGCGAGAACAGCCTTCCCGCTACTTCCCTCATCTCCCGTGTAAAAGATCCATGCAGCATGGTCTTCATCACCACCCCACACTATCCAGCTTTCCATTCCCAGAAAATACAGAATCACAAAATCATTTTAAGTTGGAAAAGACCTCTCGGCACTGCTAAGTCCACTACTGAACCACATCCCTAAGTGCCACATCTACACTTCTTTTAAATACACCACAGAGGGTGGCACCACAATTTCCCAGGCAGCCAGTTCCAATGCTTGCCAACAATAAACAGTATATTTCATGCACCATACCCACTTCCCACAGTTTGGCATCCCCTCTGCTCCTCCCCTGGCCCAATAGACCCCTCACCTGGGTCCCCAATGTCATGTGGCACCACATTTTTCATCTTCACCTGGGCTGTCTGACCACACATGAGGTACTGCCGGGGCTGGACATCCTCGTTCACCACAGTGACAGCTGTAGAGGACACAAAGCAGGACAAGTAAGAAGGGCAGCAGAAGCTGCTGCAGAAAGGTCCAAGCATAAGCACAGGCAGAACCACAAGCAGCAGCATGCCAGGCTGCCCTTTGGAGGTCCAAGATCACATCTCTCGGCAAAGGGCTGAGGAGACAGGCTTCTCTCCATCCCCTAGTCAGAAGGGAATGCAGCGGCCAGTAGTCCTTTGTCTCTTTCCAAGTTTCACATATTCAAGTTTGTTTCTTTTCTCTCTCCAAGCTGCACAAAAACCTCGGCCAAGAGCGGACTCATGGTCTTCCCATGTTCCAGTAATCCCGGCATTCATGTCCAAGGTGCCAATGGCCCTCCAGATAGGCATCGCCCCGATTTCCGACCCTGGCATTCAGGGTTCGGGTGTTAATGGTCCCTTGATAGGCATCTTATCTGGTGCCATCCTTTGGGCGTAGGATCGTTGGCCACTTCCCGTCTTGGCAGCTACACCCTCCTTCTCACCCAAATGTCCATCTGCCACGGTTTTGCCGTGTGTCTCCAGGCTGGATTTCTTAACCTGAATGGAATGAGAGGGGAAACCCCCTTCCCCTCTTCCCTTCCCCGGGTTATTCCATTTATATTATTTGATATACCATTTATTCCCATGAATTACTACCCGTATTTCTAACACTTTCCAAATAAGCAAACCTTCCGTACTCCCGCAGGACAGGGAGGAGGTGGGAGAGCCCTGCCCCTGCCGGCCCCTGCAGGTCCTGGGCACAGCAGTCAGGGGGCACCTCCATCCAGATGGTCCCTCCATCCGTCATGAAGTAGAGCTCATTGAAGAGGGCTGACTTGTACCAGGAAGGCAGCTGGCTGTGGGAAAGAGGGAAGCTCAGCCTCCGAGGCCAACGTGGTGATGCTCCTGTGGCATCCAAGCCCAGAGAGCCTCTGGGAAGGTGCTCTCATCTGCCCTACCTGTTCTCCAGGATGGGATTCTGCCACGCTTCGATCTTCCTCTCCCATTCCTCATAGTGTGTCAGGGCATAATGGGACAGGGCAGGAGCAGCATCGCCTTTGCTGCCAAAAAACCGGGTGTACCGCCTGCCAAGGGAGGGTCTGGTCAGCACCCCGTGGGCTCCACCTGGGAAACCCGCACGGACACCACAGAGGGACAATGGACTACAGACAACAGCAGAACTCAACTGCTGCTGCAGGGGCTGGACAGGGGGTCCCCTCCCTGAACTGGCCTCCCCCTGAGCCCTCCCTTGTGGCCACAGCCACAAGGAGTGGGTGGCAAAAGGTCCCCTCATAGTGCATAAGACAGGGAGGAGGGAAAACGGGGCTTTGGGGGCATGAGCCAAACACCAGTGGAGAGAACCCACCTACCTGAGGTGCAGCTTCTCCTTGGAGCCAAAGTGAACACAGGGCATGTCCCAAGCCAGGGCTAACTCCAGCGTCTTGTGCCCATGGGCAGGCACCCTACAGCTGGCACACACTGCTGCTGCTGTCACCTCCCCCTTCTCTGTCGGCCTGCTTTTACCTGCCAGGAAAAATTAAGATATTCTTAAGCAACCAAGGAAGACCAAAGGGAGCGTAACTGAAGTTCACACACACCTTGAGGGAGATGAGACTGGGCACACCAAAACTCCTGTACAACTTGGAAGGTACAGCCCTGGGCTTTAAGGGATGATGTTGCCGCAGGAAAAAAAAAAAAACCATCCATGGGAGGAGTGGTTAAAATGATTCAGTCATCCAAGAACAGGAACAGATCAGGCAGGAAAAGCCACCAGGCATGAATGGAAGCTACAGAGTATCCCATGACTCTGGATCTGCACTGCAGTCAGAGACACTGTGACTTTCTAGGGACAGTCATTGTTTCCAGCTTTCTGCAGGGTGCTTGAGCCATGCTGGTATTTCAGAAAAACCCTGAGGTGGCTGGATAATTATATGCTGGTTCTGACATGTGTATAAGGTAAACTCATTACAGCGACATAAACACAGATCCTGACTATGATAATGTCTGGCATGCATGAAGAAAAAACACATCCCAATAGCCTGGAGAGCTCTGAGTGCATCTAGGCAGGAAGCTTATTTTTCTGGAAAGACTTACATACTAAATGCTTCATTAATTTAAGCCTCAAGAAATCTTGCAAAGACCCAGCATCACTAGATTGTCAGCATTATCCGTGTCTAAAAACTGACAGACATTAGGGAAATGGTCACCTTTTATGGCAATAGAAGATGAGTACCAAAGGCAGGAGATGGCACCCTGCTTCAAGGCTCCTCCCAAGGGAGTGAGCAGAGACCTGAGGATGGATGCAGAATTATCAGAAGAATATCAGAGATGTCCAGAGAACTGTTACAGTAGGAAGAGGACAGAAAGTGACAGCAGCACTAAACCCCAAGCACTGTTAAACGCTGGTGGTAACAATTCTGACAGGACACAGCTCGTTTATCTGGAAACAGGAATTAAGGGAAGGGGGCTGGGCAGCACATTGGCTTCCTAGCAGATCCTAGCAGAAATTTCAATTCAGTGTGCAGCCACACACAGAATAACGAGATTCTGGCACGTGTAACCAATATCCAAGAACAGCCCAAAGTGGTATGAGCAGCTTTTGAGGAACCACAGCAAGGACTAGCAATGGGAAGTTTGGATACAGCCTAAGTTTGGGAACAAGCCACAGCATCCGGGAGAGATTTTGAGCAGCCAAGGAGGCTGGAGGAAAGAGTTCTGCCCTGGCTTGGGTGCCCACAAGCAGCACGGCCACCCACTTGCCCTGCTCCCCCTGCACCCAGCCCACGCAGGACGGAGGCACTCACCAGTGGGTGAATCCAGCCTGCCATCCTGCAGGAGGTCCTGCCACACCTCTCTACCCAATCCCGTGGGATTGAATGCCGTAACATGGGTGACTCCCGTGCCAGCCTGAACAAGGGAAGAGCATCATCAGGGGCTGCTCCTTTGGAGGAGAAGATTAATGCTCTCCCCTCCCCAATACCACCACCAGGACACGACACTCACTTCTCACGTGCTGCCCAGCAACTCTCAATTTGCTGCCCCACCGCTCTCCTGACACCATTCCCAAAGAGGGTGCCCTCAGGGAGCTCATGTCCCCATTCCTGGTGTCAGGCAAGCGCTGGAGAAAGGGTGCCAGCCCCAAGCCGTTTGCCCCCCGTCCTTTGCCAGCTGCCCGCAGGCAGCTCCCCCGCACGCAGCAGGGCTGCACAACCTCCCCAGCAGCAGCCGCAGCAGCAGGGCCAGCCCTTTACCTTCTCCCGGGCAGAGATGGCCAGGGTGAAGGGGTTCACGGCCGGGCAGTGGTGCAGCAGCACCCCAGCAACCCGCTGGCCGTCCTTCTGCAGGGTGAAGGGCTCGTTCCAGTGCCCGCCGCTCCCGGCCTCCTTCGCTCCCGCGCCGTTCTGCAGGCTGAACATGATGGACACTTCCACGGCCTCATCCCTCCCGTTCTCCACCTCCCAGACGAACACTCCCACCGGCAAGCTGGAGTCCTGGCAGAGACGCAGAGCGCTGCCTCCAGGGCTGCTGCTCCACAGGCAGCTGCCCCAGCCTCGCTTCCCCCCTGCTGGGGACACCGCGCAGCGACAGCGAGAGCGCCGGCAAGAACAACCTGGCCGCGGAGTCCTCGGCCAAGCCGAGGAGCAGCGGCAGCAGCAGAGGACTTGGGGAGGCAGGCAAGAGAAAATTCAGAAGAGAAGCAGCCCTGGGCTGGCAAGCAGCGCGCCGGGCAGCCGAGGGACGCAAAGCGGCCTTTAGGGCTCAGCCGGGCGTCTCATCACAGCCGGGCTCGGCAGGCTGATACAGGCTCACGTGCTGCAGCGCCGGGGTCACAGGAAGGTCAGACGTGTCACAGCACAGCTGCCACCCTCGCCTGGGGCTGGCAGCGGCACGGGCAGCGCTGAGCCAGCCCCGGCTGCAATGCCGAGATCCCGCACGGCTGCGGGGCTTCCCCCGCCCGCACCCGCTGAGTGCGGCCCTGGGGAAACGCTGGGAAAGCGGCCGGCAAGCAGCTCTGCCCTCGGGGATGCCGTCACCGCCTTACCTTATAGTCATGGGGGATGACGGGCGAGACCTGCCGGCAGGTGAGCACCACCTGCTGCCCCGGCAGCTCGTAGACCAGCCAGGCACGGGGGTACAGGGCGTGGTAAAAGGCGTAGCGGCCGCAGTAGCCCCAGTTCCAGCCCTGCAGGCTGCTGGGTCTCTCCAGGGACAAGACCTGCTGGTAAATGGTCTGCCCCTTGCACCGCAGGCACACCGTGAACTGTGGAGGAGAGGAGCCCGTGCAGGGGATGAGAGGAGCCCTGTGGCAGATGTCCCAGCCGCCCAGGCTGCTGCAGTGACTCTCACTCCCCTCACAGACCCTACCTGATTGGCGATGACTGTTTCGTAGTGGTAAAGGCCAGGGTTCAGCTGCCAGCGGCAGAACTCTCCCCGCCAGCCTCGGGTGATGGTGCCTCCCCCGATCCCGCCCAGCGGGCATCCTGGTAAAGACACCAATAGTTAGCAACTCCATTCCTCCCCCAGGTGGCACCTGGCTCAAGAACTCTCCCCACACATCTCTGCAGGGGAGAGTCACTCAGTATCGCCCAAATCACAAAAGCTCCTCGACTCACTCATTCCATCTAGGACATGATGGACCCGTGTGAATCCCTGCCCACCCCAGTGCCCAAAGTGGAGGCTGACCATAGATCTGCTGCAGAGGAACAGCACACAAGAGGTCAATGAAGGCAGTTTTCTTCTCTATGCGCGTCTTCTTGACCCACCACCTGAAGTATCTGCAAGGGAAAGAGACGTATTGAAGAAGTCAGGAGTAGGCAACACCATCCCTCCAGTGTCACTGGGCAGGATGAGCATAGGTTGAGCTTTTTCTCCTTTTAGAGATGTAAAACAGGAACCTGTGTCCCCATTCCCATTGCACAAGGATGATAAGGCTCTATCACCCATCTGGAGCATGCATCACTCAGCAAGCACAAGCAGGCAAAGTTCAGGCAGCTCAGGACTGACTGCAAGGGCAAGTCAAGAGCAGGACTCCAAGCTCATGTAGCACAGGCTTTCCCAGACGTTCAAGGAGAAGTGGGAATGCACACAAGCACCACCACCACCTCCATGCCTGGTACAGTGTCCTGCTAAGGAAAGCCGGCAAGCAGAGGTGCAAGCCCAGAGGAGACACACACTGCTCCAGGGACACGAGCCTTGCTCTTCTACCTGCACTTCCCCATTGCCACACACTACCACATCACCAGGGGCAGAGGGCACAGGGCAGCCTTGCCCTGGAAGTGGTGATGGTTGCAGTGTGCAGCTGGCAGGATCCTGGGGACTTGCCTCCACCCGCACACCAGCTGCACAAACCAGCACTGCCCATCAGATAATTTCTCACCCAAAGGCCTGGGAATCAAGACACCCAAACAGGGGCACACCTGCAGCTGGGTGTGCCAGCACCACTGCAGGCAAGAGGAGCAGGGCTGGGCTCCGAGTCAACGCTTGTAAAGCACTGGCTTTGGCTAATAAACTGCCCCAAGTTAAGCCTTCTATACAGAGACAGTTAGCAGATGGACACCAGCTGCCAGACCAGAGGCTGCTGAACCTTGCCCAGCAAACAGTCAGGTGAGACCCAGCTGGCAGCTCCATGGCCCTGGGTGCCAGGTGAGCAGGGGGGACACAGGAGCCCCCACACAGTGACACAGTCCCTGAGCTACCTGCAAACACCCATGTCATACTGCTGAGCAGAAAACCACCCCAACCAGGAGCACACAGCCTGTCCTGCCCCTGGTTGCAGAGGATACAGAGCACAGGCAATGGGCAATAATCCCCTGGGACATGCACACCCAGGAGCAAGGGCAAGAGGCTCTTCCATGACACCTCTACTATCATGCTTCCCAAACAGAAACAACCCACAGTTGACTCTTTGGCTGCTCACTGGGCATTCACCTTTATTCACCAACATCTAAAGTTCCCAAATCCCTCTCAGGGTGAGATTTTCTGCGTTGCAATCTCACAGGATGCAGCCTGACCTAACTGCAGCATGCTCTCCACTCCTACAAACCCAGCTTTGTATTTGACTGTCTGTGGATGTTTTGCCCACAGAGGTTCAGGGCATGATGAGAACCAGCCTGTCCTGCCTGACTGCCCTGAACCAGGGCCTGCCACTATCATCCAGCTTTATCTGCTGCAACTGCTCTTCTCCAGACAGGACATTCCCAGCCCTACCCCACCAAGGTGAGGTTTTGGCAGTGCTCTCTCTGTCTCTCTCAAGGAAATTATTATTATTCTTTTTCAACCCAGCATCAGGGAACCAGCTCAGCTGCTTCCCCAGCAGGCTTCTGGCAACAGGAAATAAGGTGCCCAGGCAGAGTGGCTGCAGCACAGCCTAGCAGGGCATCCTGACTTCTTGGAAAGGAGATAGGAGATGGGTTTCAGGAAGCAGTTTTTACAGGAGAACAGAGTAGAAAAACTTTGGGATTTATTGCCACTTCCAAAGTCTTTTTACCATCTCAATATGCAAACCTTTCTTCTGCCAGCTTCTCCCAAAATCAGGCAAGCCAGGAGGAGAAGCTTGGTCGATGCCCAGTTGCTGGCTATTAACAGCTCTGCCAGGGGTAAAGAATAACAAGGAGAAAGACTTTGTGTTCTGTAGTACCAAAAGCCCTGCCAGAGCTGGAGGGCATTTCCTCCCCTTCAAACTGACAGTGGAGCTAAAACCTAGCTGAACATTACCCAGCTGATCTGGATGTGTGCCGTGACCCCTCTCAGGACACGAGCCACCTCTGTGGAAACCCACCTGCACCTCTTCTCCTGCCTCGCCAGCCCCAGCTGAGCCCTCTGCACAGCCTTGTCTTTCCAGACACATATGTCCCCCACAGTTAACCTGACAAGCCCTGATGAACAAAAAAATCCTGCTCCAGGGCTGTCAACACCCCCAGCCATGTCACCTGCACCTAGGGCTGGTGCTGTAGAAGAGGGCGCCCATCAACATGTTTAATTCAATGCAACAGTGTCAGCCCAGGATGTTGTGGCTCCTCTACTGCTCCTGGAAGCCTAAGCAGTAATCCCAAGGTGCTCCTGGTGCCCACAAGCACCTGCACCAGGTGACTTTGCACTTGACGCACCAAGCCATGCCAAGTTTTGAGAACATCCCTGGCACAGGAGCCACTCACCATGGGTCACTGAGGAAAGGGCAGGCCAATCTGCAGGGCTTCACAGATCCCTGCACCATGACACACAGCTGAACTCCAGGTTTCTCTTGCAGCATCAGCACCCAGGTTTCCCTGAGCTGGCTGCCCCATCCAGGCAGATGTTGAGATACCCACCAATTCCTGGAGTATGCACAGGCACATACATATATACATACTCACATATATATCCTATATATGTGATATATAGCTTATATATCCTATATATGTGATATATAGGGATGCGAGGATATCCTGTATCCTCACATCCCTGAATGGGCTGCCCTTTCAGCTAACAATGTTGGCATTGGGTTTTTTGTGGTTCAAAAACCACACAGGTATTTCTCGTGACCCTAGCACTTTGTCTCCTCTGCTCTTGTGGCTGGAATCGCCTCACAAGGAAGTTCTTGCCATGGCAAAAGTACTTTGAGATAACAACCAAATTACCTCCTAAACTTGAACAGGAGAAAAGGGAGTAGCTTGACTTCAAGCTTCTTGCTTTCAAAGCCCTTGCCTAGGACTGATACAAGGCTCTTCCAGACTTCAGTGAGAACAAGGCCAGGATCACCTCTCCTCCCTGCTCACCCCACCAGAACTTCACGCTTTCCCACATGCTCAGTTCATCCCAACCTGCCGCAGCAGCTTTTCCACCAGCCTTTATTTATCTCCAGTGCATGACCCATGCTCTCCTCGACACCCAGGCCCGCACTGGGGCGTCTCAGGTGAGACCAGCATGCCATGCACCCCAAAGCAATCCAGAATCTGCCCTTTCATCCAGCTTCACAGGAACCAGCTTGGCAAGTGGCAGCCTCCAAGGACACCAGCAGAAAATGGAGGCAGGAGTCACAAATCCAGCACAAGGAAATAAGCAATGCCGTCGCAGGTCCCCGCGTTCAGCCTGACAGGTGCACAAACACTGCCAGCACCCGGACTCCAGCGTTAAAGGTTAAAACAACACTCTCGCTTTCCACGCGTGCTCTCCATCGTTACCTCCAGCTCACCCCAACGCAAAGCCGGGAGAGGTGCCCCGCTCCCGAGCCTGCCACAGCACACAGCGCCCCAAACCCTCCCAGACGGCCAGCGCTGCAGACTACGCCGGGCAGGATGCGGCAGGGATGAGCCCTGGGGGCGGGAAATGGGGGTCCCCATCCCCAGGTGCCCCGAGTCCGCCCAGCTCGCCCGTTCTGAGGAGCCCAAGCGCCGGGCGCTGCCCCTTCAGCACCAATCGCTCCCGGCGCCGGCGCCACGGAGGCTGCAGAGTGCCGGCGCCTCCGGGCGGTAGGAGGGCGGCTCCCGCCAGCCCGGGGCCTTCCGCGATCTGCCGGACTGTGCCCCTCCGTACACCGGGACACCTCCGGTGCCTCCCCGGGGCGAGGCCCCCGCGGCACCGAGCGGCTCCAGCGCAACGCTGTGTCCCCCGCGGGACGCCCTCCCTCGTCCCGGTGTGTTCCCGACCCCCTCCATCCCCGGCCGTACCGCAAGGCGAGGCCGACGTGCCGCAGGACATCGCGGAGCGGCACGTCCCCGGCGCCGTAGGGCTGCCGCAGCTCCTCGAAGCTGTGTGCCAGGCAGACGCGCCAGCCGTCCGCCGCCACGCCGCGGCCCTGCGCTACCCCCTCGTAGCGCCGCATCAGCGGCCACTCCACCGTCTCCGCCGCCGCCGCCATCACCGCCCCCCGCCCCGTGCGCGCCCTCTTCTTCACCGCCCCGCCCCGCCCCGCCCGCGCCCCCGGGGCACGGCGGAAGCACGGACCCGCCCCGCCGCCGGTCCCCGGGGCTGCCCGGCCGAGCGCGGCCGAGCAGATTCCGAGAGTAGCCGAGCGCTGCTGAGGGGCGCGCGAGAGTTGCCGAGCGCTGTCCGGGAACTGCCCGTGAGCCGACCGAGGGTGCCCGAATTCTGCCCGAGTGTTGCCGAGTGTTCCCGAGCGCTGCCCGAGTCTTGCCGAACTAGATCCGAGCCTTGCCGAACTAGGCCCGAGCTTTGCCGAATTGTGTCCGAGCCTTGCCGAACTCTGCCCGAGCGCTGCCGATCCCCGCCGAGCGGCGGCGGGGAGCCGGGCCTGCTGTGGTGCCGGACGGCGAGCGCGGCCTGTGCCGGTGGTGAGTGGGCCCGAGGCGGGAGCTGCGGAAAGTTTGCGGCCCTGTGTCCCTGATCCCTCGGGTAGAGCTGTCCGTGTGCGTGTCTGCGTTAGGGACCGCAGGGCTGTGTTGTCAGGGCTGTCCTTCTCACCGTCGCGGTGTGTCCTAGCCCCACTTCCTTGCCTGTGTGGGCCTGGGAGGAAGATGTATGTGTTTGTAAAGACGGGGCTGTGCGTGTTTCCCCCCACACCTCCTGTGTGTGTGTATCTGTGTCCCCATTCCCCCTCAGTTACATTGCCCAGCCCCCTCTCCGTGTCTCCGTGACAGCACAAGGGGGAATGGCTTTAAACTGATAAGAGACTACCTTCAGATTAAATATTAAGAAGAAATTCTTTACTGTGAGGGTGGTGAGGCGCAGGTTGCCCAGAGAAATTGTGGTTGCTTTATCCCTGGAAATGTTCCGTGCCAGGCAGGATGGGGTCCTGAGCAATCTGTTCTGGTGGGAGGTGTCCCTGCTCATGGCAGGGGAGCTGGAACAAGATGGTCTTTAAGGACTCTTCCACCCCAAACCATTCAGTGGTTCCTTGAATCTATGATTCTGTGATAACGTGCCTAATGTTGGCTTTTTTGGCAGGTGTGCAGCAGGATTGTCCAAGCCATGATCGAAGTGTTGGCCAAGCTGGGCCGTGGGCCCGTGTTCCTGGCAGGGGAGGTGCTGGAGTGTGTGATCACCTTCACCAACCCATTATCGGCCTCGTCCACCTCTGCCAGCAGGTACAGGAGCCTGTGCCAGTCCATGCACAGAGCCTCCAAATGCTGGAGCTGCCTGGGTCCCTGCAGAGGGAGGAGCCCACCTTCTCTCCCCTCTCTGCAGCAGTAGTCGTGGCTGCATTGTATTGCAATGGTGCCAGCTCAGCCCCTTGTGACTTCCCTACTCAAGGCACTCCCTTAAGGAAGCCTTGTGTCATCTCTCAATTTTGGGGGCGAAGCTGAGGTAATAATGCTGGGTTTGTGCCCCCAAGAAGTAGACAAGGAAGGAGGTATGCAGTTAGAGATTCTCTGTCACTCAGGTGAGCACTCAGTGACAGTGTCTGGCAGAAAATGAAGCCAAACTGGCTGTCCAAGTGGGCTATCTGGTCACACCAGGGTGACAGTCACACAGAGCAACATCCAGGCAACGTCATTATTTCCTGCATTTGTGGAAGGAGCTCTCTTTTACACGGGGATCAGTGTGATCCCTGCCTCCAGAGGTGGCAGACAGGATTAGATCTGAAAGGATCACCTTCTGCAACCACATTTTCTATGGCCCAGCCTTTGAGCACTGCATTTCCCCTTCTCAGTGCTGAGGAAATGTGAGAAGATGGGAGCTTCCCATATTGGCTCACAGGGGGTGACTCTGTGTCACAAGTAATCACCCAAAGCCTTCATGTCCGCTGAGTGTGCGGCCTTGTCTGATTCTTTAGGGAGTGGAGAGTGCTTTCTCATCTTGAGTCCTTCCTGGGAAGTGTCTGTTTCCAGCCCTGTCAGGTTCAGCATGTTTTCATCACCAGTATGATGTTCACATGTGATTGTTTTGGTGGGCCCACTCACAGTGCCTGCAGTCTCAGCAGCAGAGGGCTTCTATATTTATTGCCTTCCTTAACTTTCCATCTTTTCTTCCTGTTTTCTTTTGACTGCAGAGATCAGGTTTCAAATTCAGCTGTGGCATAAGCATCCAGCTTCCCAGAGTTTTGTCCTCTGTGACAGCAAAGTCATGTCCTGTGTTTTGTCTGCTTCTGAAACATGTGGGACTGCAAGGGTACCTGGAGGCATGGTTTGGGGGGGGTTCAGTGCGTTTATGACAGCTTCATTTAAAACTTCAGATGTGTTGTGATCTGTAAAAGACTGCCTCTTGAAAAAGAAGAGTTTTTAAAATAATAAAAAGAGCCCCAGGTGATCAGTCGGATGAGACCTGGCTAAGTCAGGCGAGCGGCAGCAGCAAGTAGATTGATGGTTTGGAAAATGAAGCTGTGGGTTGCGTAAAGGCAGGAGCCAGATCAAAGCACCGTGACTGCAACAGGCAGAGAGGCCTGTCAGAGCCTGGAGGGTTTTGGGGCTGACAGCTGGAGGGACAGCGAGGCCTCGTGTTGGGAACAGGGACAGAATTGAAAGAAAGGCAGGAAATCAGTTTGATGGTGGAGTACAAGAAACAAATCTCTTCTACCCAGAGCTGCACGGAGCATGTCCCGTGTAGGCTGCAGGAGTTGTGGGGGAAGGTGAGACTGGAAGGAAGTGACCTCAGCACCAGTGCAGGATCCTCCACTGCTGAACAAGCACTAGCTGAGCAAGCCAGCTCTGCTGGCAGGAAGGGACATGCAAATTTTATTGGGACATCTGGCTAGAAAAAATGAAAACAATCCAGTGTCATGTTGTGAAGCTATACTGAAAAGGAAAGAAAAAAACCTCAAAATACAGTGTTTGAAGGTATTGTAATCACTCTAAGCTTATATAAAATTAGGGAACATTGCCTCAAGCAAGAGCAGTTCTCTGTTTCCAAACAGCAGATACCTTACAAGAAAAAAACATATGGGCAGCCCTGATAAAAAAGTCATGCTGGTACTTTTGAAAATGCAGAATTACAGCTGTAGGGCTCAAGAGAACTAGGTATAGTAACTGAGGTGTGTTTGGGTAAGGGCAGCCAGCACAGATCAAATAGCACATCATTAGACAGCTGACACAAATACAGCACACCTTTTTCCCTAGTTCATCTAGACCTTTAACTGCTCTGATGTGTCACATGAAGGGACACTCGTGTGCCACAGAAAATCCCTGTGCCACCTAAAGCTCTGTTGTTGGTGCTTACTAATCAGGTTGTGATGTTAGAAAACATCAGAGGAACTATTCACTGGCTAAACTATAGACACCGCTATTGAAATAAAGACAGAGGAGTTATTTGGAAACTGAAAGGTGTCACTAGTGCCATGGGAAGTGCCCTGTGGAATGGCTGACGTCTCAGCAGAGTCCAAAACACAAAGCTTTTTTTTGTGCTGGATACGTGGCCCTACATTAATTCCTGGGGCTGTACAGAGAGGGGTCAAAATGACACCTTTGCCTCCCCTACTGCCGTCAGCAAAGTCCTTGCATAAGAAGGAGTAAGTAGGTCCTAATGAAAGACCCAGAAGCATCCTCCTTTGGTCTGGCACAAACAGCAGCTGATGTTCGTGTTGGGGATGGTGCTGTGGGGCCAGAGGGAGCATGTCTGTGCCTACCTGCCGTGAGGAGTGTTGAGCTTGGGGCATCTCTGTGCTGTGGGCAGGGGCAGCTGAGCCCAGGTTGCACAAATTTGTTGCTTTAGAATTTGCCCACTTCCCTAATGGTTGTGCTGTTACCCGAGTGCTGCTCTGTGTATCACCTCTGGCTTGGGATTTAACTCCTGATGGCTGAGAGTCCCATGCCATGGTCCACATGCAACAGCTTGAGGTGTCCTCCCAAGAGAGCAGGGAGTGGCCAGTCCCAATCTGTGGATGATGCAAAAGATGAACAAATGAGTAAGGCTTTGCACTGTATCTTGGAACAGTTGATCTCAGCACGGTGGCTGATAGATCCCTGTGAAGTTTTGCACAAACCACCTTGTCTCTTGTCGTCATGGAAGGGGGCAGGAGCTGCTGACCTCTGCTGCCTGTTGTCCTCTGCCACAAGTGTACAGCATGTCTCTTGGGCCAGATGTGTTTTCTCGTGCCATGTCAGTGCTGTGCCAGTGGTGGTGTGGCTCAGACTGCAATTATTGCTGCTTAAAAAGAGTCCGTGGGCTGCAGAGCCAGGCTTTGGGTGAAGCTGTTGTCAGCAGCTGGGGTGGAAATGGCTTTGAGTCAGCATCTCAGCTTGAGCTTACTCGCAAGGCTTGTTTGGAAGGGGACTGTGAGAGTGGCTTCAGTGACAGTGAAGCAACACCTTCCTTCCAGACAAACAGTCCTGCATGGAGCTGAGCTGACAGAGTTGCTCTTCTCCCTTAATTCCTGCCTGATGTAATTCAGGTTTAAGCAGAGATATGAGTGTTGCTCTTTGCTTTCAGTGAGATGCTGGCATGGGCCAGCGCCCAGATCCACTGCCAGTTTCATGCCAGCGAGAACCGGGTGGCACTCCCTCCCTCTGATGGCAGCAAGCATGATGTGCAGGCAGAGAATGAGACCGTCTTTGTCCCCAACAGAGGTGAGTGTCCCTCCTGCCTTCACCTAGGTAGGGACAGTGAGAGCACAGTGAGCAGGAGTCAAGCAGACCATAATGTGCGTGCCTCAGTGCAGCGTGCATAGAAGTGAGTGCGAAGTTTGTGTTGCTTTCCTGGTGGTAGATGTTGTGGGACCTTCTTAATACTGAAATCACAGTGACAGTATCTTGGATTGAAACATGACAGTTGTTTGTCCAGCTGCAGTGGCAATGTCTCATATTATAACCAGGGCAAGAGATGCTTCCTCCCTCACTCTCTTCTCCCTGTTCCTCCCCATGGGGATAAAGCTTGACTGACCTGGACACAGCCTGAGGCTGTGCAGCATTAATGTGTTTTTTATTCTCTTCCAGGAGAGCGGGGTCAGTGTATCCTGTCCACCCCACCAAAGATCCTCTTCTGTGACTTGCGACTGGATCCTGGGGAGTCCAAGTCCTGTGAGTCCTGTCTTCTCTTCCCCTGC